AAGAAAAGAAAAGAAAAGAAAAGAAAAGAAAAGAAAAGAAAAGAAAAGAAAAGAAAAGCTTTCTTTTGCTTGGTAAAGCATTTATCCTATGATCTAAGTTTGCCTGAGTTTGATATAGGTACAAAGCACAGTACCACACTTCAATATATAGGAGCCAAAAGCCTTTGGGGGGGATCACCTCTTTGTATCCAGCAGAATAGCATCCAAACACACTCACTACCAAAGCAGCTGTTAGAAGCACCTTGGCCTAAAGGATATTGCCTTGACACAACCACTGTGAGATGCCATGCTGTGAGTTGTGTTAACACAAACTTTCTTTGTGTTAACTTGTGCTGTGGTGCTGCTGCTGTAGGGCAGGCCCAAACCACCCCATTTTGTAACTCCATTCCTTATTGATAATTTCCCAATGGGCTTCAGACAAAGGAGGAACCAGGATGCAGGAAAGGGGGAAATCAAAAACAGGGTGTGCCCATGGCTTTCATGTATGTGGCAAACAGCAGGAAGCAGAGAAAAGTGAAATAAGGGAAGAAACCATGGCTGGAGTGTTGGATTGCCAAAGCCACTCTACATCGGGGAAAGTTTGGGTACACCGGGTTTACATTGGGTTTACATTGGGGAAAGTTGTTGGGGTACACCGACCTCATCATCACCTTCCATCATCATCACATTCCTTGACAGTGACACAGAGCACACTGTGTGTTTAAATGAGAAGGGTTTACAGAAAGAGCCTTAGCCACAATCCTGAGTTGTTAAGTGCAACAGGAAGAGAAAAAAGCAATTTCTCTCTGGATTGTCCTAGGGGGAGAGCTACAGTGAGGAGGGTAAAGGTTTGGAAGCTCTGATCCCCAGAATAGAAGCAGAATGCAAGAGGTGGAGTAAGAGACACTTCCAGCTTAGAAATAATCCCTCCCTTGAGTCCTGCACCCAGCTGGCACGAGGATGGAGCAACAGAGGCAGGCTGCACCTTGTCTGCAGACAGGGAGTGAGGAAACAGGCAGGAAAAGGAAGCAGTGCTTTGGGAAGGAGAATACCCTCTGCACAGTAGAGCTGGATCCATGTCTTCAGGCCTAGGTGCTGATGGCATGGGAGCAGCAGCTGCCACCCCAAGCAGCACATGGCATTGTCCTGGCACTGCCTTGTTGTTGCTGAGGAGCACCAAGCCCAAGTGGCTTCCAGCAATGTGTGTTCCCAGCCCAGCAACGCGTGTTCCCAGGGATGTCACCATGCTGTGGTGGCCCTGCGTGCTGCCCAGGATGTAAGGTTGGCTATAAACCCCACACTGACCCTGCTGCATGCCATGAGGATGCTGCAGATCACAGCTACATGGTGCATCATGGCTATTTATTAAATGTTTTATATGTTCACTCAATGAGGGAGAAGCTGAAGTCTTTGTGTAGAGACAGAGGAAAAAGTGTCCTCAGCTCTCCCATTCCTTGCTTGAGCTTCCTCCTTACCCACCACCCTGCAACATGCAAAAAGCAAAGTTGGGAGAATTAAACAGAGAATCTGAGGTGTTCAGACTGCTTAAAGCTGCATCTGCTGCTCTTCCTCCAGCAGCACGTCAGGACGGATGTGAGGATTGCACCTCTTGCATCATCCACGCAGAGGATGTAATCAGGAGATACTGAGAAAAGCATCATGAAAGCACATAAACCTCGGTAGTAATTATACTCCACCCTCCTGTGACAACTGCAGGAGCTACAGACTGTGCTTCACAGCACAAGCATTGCACCCTGGGATTTCTGTATTAAATCACGTGGAGAAAAGAGCTCTGGCACCCACACGCCTTTGTGATGTGGCTTTATTCCACTAAGGAGGGTTTTATCTGCAGGCGGTGAGCATTGCACTGAGATTTTCGAGCTCTGGTTTAAGTCTCAGGTTTGAGGTTTTCCCAAATCACTCCATCCCATGTGTGAAATGGGAGAAGAATTCCGCTTTGTCTGATTCTCAGCCTCTGGTACTCAGACTCTGGGAAAAGGGATCTGCAGGAACTGAAGGAGCAGTTGGTTGGAAGCAAAAATGCTTTTATAGCAGATTAAGACCTCCGATAGCTTGGCTGAGGCTCACCTTAGAGCTCTTCAGTTAATGTGAGCATCTCACTTTGCTCCTGAAATCCAGGAACACAGTGCCAAACTCTGATTTTCTTGCTATCCTTATCAGCTTGGGAATACTCATGTTTTACTGCTGGAAATATCTCCTGTAACAAACTGGCAGTGTGTCAGCATCTCTGTGTTACCTTCACCCACCCCACCAAGCCAACAAGCCTCATTTAGAGCAACCAATCCAAGCTGCGTTATGCCCTGCTCCCTAGGTCGGGTCCTACATCCCAGGACTCATCTATTATGTGCCAGAACATGCTAAACCTCTTACTACTGCTTCATGACTGTCCTTTATCTCAGCGGAGATAAACACGCTGTTCCAGATATGCTAAATACATAGTACAACCACGGCCCTTAATTTGGTTTTCAGACAAACAGTGCATCCCTTGACATCTGTCTTCCCTGCCCTACTTCCCTCCCTGGTCCATGCCACTAAAGGGCTTTGGTATCACTGCTATTGTGTCTCCTTCACATTGTATTTGTCCAAGTAAGTGAAAACTCAGGCTAGCTGACAGTCTTCCAAAAGGTTTCCTGTAGAGAGCCTTTAACAGAGCCCATGTGCTGCAGAGAGGGTCCCTTATCACCACTGGTGTTTCCTCCCAGGATGGTGGCTGTGAGGCTGGTGTGCCATTGAGGTTGATGGGTACTGCTGCCAAGCATGAAGATGAGGTATGGCTGAGACCTCGTGCTCCAGGGCAGGGAATGCAAGGAGGCAGCAAGCAGGGAGGCACCTCGAGATGATGGTGGCATGTATGTCTCCATGGAGACAGGACTCTGAAACAACAAAGCAAGACACAGCTGCCACAGCCAGCTCTGGGGGAAAGATCCTTCCAGTGCTTGACTGGAGCTGCAGGGTTTTGTTGGAGGTATGCTGCTGCTCTTTGTAATCATTCCAGTTTGACAGAAGAACCTACAAAAAAATGCTGCTCTCCTTGCAAGAAGAGCTTTCCCTATTCTCATATGCTCCCAAGAGTTTTCAATAAAGTGATGACTAAAATGCCCACTGAATATAAAACACCCAATACAGTCATGCCTCATTTCAAAGCTGCTCCTCTTCTGTCATGGTCACCCAGCAGAAGAGTCACTGCCCAGAGCATCTCTTTGCCATTGTGAATATAACTACCAGTTGTCATAGCAGTGAAATGGCCCTCGGACTCTCTTCAGCACTAAAATTGTGTAAGCTGGCCATGTCTTGTTAACAGCCCCAGGCACTAACTAGGGAAAAATGCTGGGAAGTACCAATGAAGTTTTAACAATCCACCCCCCAAGGGAAAACAAGTGACCATGCTCTGCTCTCATGCCAGGCTCTCTGCAAGTCAGCATGGTAAAAGAAGAGTCTGCATGAAGACCACCTCACTGCTCCTTTGGCTCTTGGGCCTTTTTACCCTCTGTTACTCCGGAGGTCAATATTTTCAAAGCTACGGAGCACCTGGAGCTTCCTGTGTTTGCATCACTTCATCCTCTGGCTTGTTTTGTCTTTTGGAAAGCTCAGGCTCATGGGACTGGAGACAGTATGCAACCCTGACACTATACCGTGGGTTGTTAATATGCTCCAATCGAGCTTCCACTTGCAACACAAAATAATAACACAGTAGAGTCAAGTCTGAGTGTTCAGAAACATGTTCTCAAATGAGAGATACATCATCTATGCCTATAAAGAGTAAAGTTCCTCTTTTTTTCCCCCTCACATTTCCCATTCTGGAAATGTTGGAACCATGTGGAGGGTGAAGGTGAAAGTAAATCCCGTTTTTTTTTTTACTGGAAATCCATAAGCACATCCACTTTTTTCAGTTTCTTCACTCTACTTAGAGTAGGTGGAGCCACGCAGTGACTTTGACATAGCTGAAAACAAAAGAGGTGGCGGAAGGGAGATATCAATCAAAATTATGCCCAGTAAATGGGTAGTTGTGATTGGGTTTGGTGTCTAAATAAATCAATCACTGTTTCCTTGGAAGAGTATAAAAACTGAAGCACATCAGGTTTCCTCACTCCATTGGATTTCCTTCAGCTCGTTCGTGCCGTGGGACACGGTAAGGCACCTCATGCTACTGATGAAAACTCATTTTCTGATTAACCTTGGAATGCTCAGCTGGGAGAGGTGGGAGTAAAAGTGGCTTTGGGGTCTCATGATTAAAAAAATTCTTCTTATTTATACTCATTTGATTATTTGTTTTTCTAATGAGTCACTACTTAATCACATGGAAAAAATAGAGAGCTGGGACAGAAAACAGAATCATCTTTAGAGGGTCTGCTTGTTTTGCACTACTAGGATCTTTTGAATTCCCTGTTCCCAGGGCTTCTTATTTTTAGAAGGAAGCAAAACAGTTACTATGTCCTTTTGAAACCAAGATTGAAGGATTTCAAAGTGCTGTGGAGTTACTGTTGTGCAAATGATGATACGTTGTTTCTTGCATGACATGAAATAGGAATGCCTATCCCTGAGCATTACAGCCCTGTCAAAATTCCCAAACCACATTTGGATAAGGGTAATTCTGGTGTACCACAGCCTTGTGTACCTCTTCCAACAGAATGCCACCCTGGCAACTTCCTTAAAGGAGTAACTGTTAAGGAATGGCTACAGTCGCACCTGTCGTAGAAAAAGTATATATGTAAGGAAAAAAAACAACACAGTTGTGTATGGATAGAGGAGGCCCTGTGGAAAACCAAATCAAGGGATATGGAATGATTTGGAAACTTCTCAGGCTCTTCTTGGTAATTGTTTTGGAGCTGTAAGTTCCTCAGGTTGACAATATCCTTTTGCATTGCCTCGTATCAGCCTGCCTGGGGAAGGGGAGAGGGGAAGGAAGAGGCAGTAATGCCACAGTAATGCACGCTTTTCTTCTTCTGCATTTTCTAATGCTCATTTTTCTTTCTCTTCCAGGGCTCTTGGCTCCTGTGACAATGGGTTCCCACCAGCAGAAGGGCGAAGGCCAAGGAATTTCTGAGCAGTCCGGTGGATGCCATGGTGGAGGCGGTGGAGGAGGCTCATGCCATGGGGGTGGCGGAGGAGGATCCTGCCACAGTAGTGGAGGTGGAGGATCTATAGGATATCAGAGCCAAGGATCATCCTGCCATGGTGGAGGAAGCAGCAGCGGTGGAGGTGGAGGTGGTGGTGGTGGTGTTATCTACCAGACCCACATATCATCATCCTCCTTTGGAGGAGGAGGAGGAGGAGGAGGAGGAGGAACTTCAGGCCACCAGGGACAAGAACCCATCTGCATTATTGGAGGAGGCGGTGGCAGCAGTGGTGGTGGAAGTGGTTCCAGCCACCAGAGCCAAGGACCCATCTGCATCGGTGGAGGTGGAGGAGGAGGTGGTGGCTCTGACCACCAGAGCCAAGGACCCATCTGCATCGGTGGAGGTGGAGGAGGAGGAGGGGGAGGTGGTTCCAGCCATCAAGGCCAAGGACCCATCTGCATTGGTGGAGGTGGAGGAGGAGGAGGTGGAGGTGGTTCTGGACACCAGAGCCAAGGACCCATCTGCATTGGTGGAGGTGGAGGAGGAGGAGGGGGAGGTGGTTCTGGCCACCAGAGCCAAGGACCCATCTGCATTGGAGGAGGTGGAGGAGGAGGTAGTTCTAGCCAACAAAGCCAGGGTCCCATCTGTATTGGTGGAGGTGGAGGAGGAGGTGGAGGAAAAGGAGGTGGAGGTGGTTCTGGCCACCAAAGCCAAGGACCCATCTGCATTGGTGGAGGTGGAGGAGGAGGTGGAGGAAAAGGAGGTGGAGGTGGTTCTGGCCACCAAAGCCAAGGGCCCATCTGCATTGGTGGAGGTGGAGGAGGAGGAGGAGGAAAAGGAGGTGGAAGTGGTTCTGGTCACGAAAGCCAGGGACCCATCTGCATTGGTGGAGGTGGAGGAGGAGGAGGTGGAGGTGGTTCTGGTCACCAAAGCCAGGGTCCCATATGCATTGGAAGTGGCAGCATAGGAGGAGGAGGAGGTGGTGGTGGTTCCAGCCACCAGAGCCAAGGACCCATCTGCATTGGTGGAGGTGGAGGTGGTGGAGGTGGTTCTGGCTACCAGGGCCAAGGACCCATCTGCATTGGTGGAGGTGGAGGAGGAGGAGGTGGAGGTGGTTCTGGCTATCAGGGCCAAGGACCCATCTGCATTGGAGGTGGAGGTGGAGGAGGGGATGGTTCTGGCCACCAGAGCCAAGGACCCATCTGCATTGGAGGTGGAGGAAGAGGAGGAGAAGGAGGAGGTGGTTTCGGCTACCAGGGCCAAGGACCCATCTGCACTGGAGGAGGAGGTGGTGGAGGAGGTGGGGGTGGTTCTGGTCACCAGGGCCAAGGATCCATCTGCATTATTGGAGGAGGCTCTGGCGGAGGTGGTTCATCTAGCTCTGGAGGCATGTCCATGCAACAGCAGACCCAGCCTATCTCCTGGCCACCACAGACTAAACACAAGTAGCAGCTTTAGAAGAGAATCTTGTAACAAGAAAGCCCAGGATGCAAACATTATCTCATTTCTTACTCTGGTAAATGTAAGAATACTTGCATGATTCCTTTCTCCTCCTCGGAATTTTTCTCTTCAGCTCTCCAGCCAAACAGAACCTCCAGTGGTGTGTATCAGCAATTTGCAGCCTCATGTGAGGTTACATCGTATGTCTTTTTTCTGCCTCAATTTTCTAGTGTTTGCACAAGGCAATAAAACTGCAGCTCTAGAGAACTTCAGTGTCTGAGTGCTTGCATTCTGTTTACACCACCATTCTGTTTACATACTTTCATTATTTCACTCACCAAGATTTCTTTTTGAGGTTATGCTGTTTTAATAAAACTCCAGAGCACAAATGCATTGCAAACCCACTGTAGAAGAGAGGTAGGATTCCCTAAATATTTTAGGTCATCTTTAAATATCAGTTGCTACACACAGTCCTGACTTTTGCCTATCAGATATAGTGCACCAAAGTTGAACATTGGAAGAAGTCTCCTTCATCTAGGTACCACAGTGCCCAAGGAAGGCGTAGATAAGAGAGGGAAAATGCAAAAACTCTTAACACTTTAGTGCAAAGAATTACAGGGTACCTTCACAGGTGTGAAGCTGAGCCCCTTGAATGATGAAGGAGCTCTTGGTTCTCATAGCTGCACCAAGCACTAGGAGACATGAGGTCTGTTAAACCTTGGCTCCAGCTCTGAGCTCCTGGAGCATCCAGCATCAGGGACAGGACACCAGACAGCCACTTCCAGGGTTGAGATGCTAAGCCTGGAGTAACTGGGGAGCTCCTCACTCACACCAGGATAAAACACTGCTTCAGGTATGAGTCTTCAGTGGGAGTTTCCCTATGGGAAGTGATTCCTTTGATGTGGTACATTCTGTCAATTAACAGTTGCAATGTGGAATGTAAAATAAACAGTAATATTTAATTCTTCTGGCAGACAACCTTCGCCGCTCCACTCTCCATTTTATTACTGCTTCAAACAGGCTGGCTGGCTAATTTTTAAAATAAAGATAGTCTTTGAGAGTAAATACCGAAGTGAGTAGTTCTGGGGGAACTGAGATGACCCACTGGGTGGGAATGAAGAAATGCCCGTGCTGCTGCTTCCAGTTTCAGCCCTGTTGCAGTGGTGTGGCCTCCCTCACCCAACTCAACCCCTTGCAACTGATGGCTGTGGATGCATCCCAAGCCCATCACATCCAGGCGATCCAGCCAGGACCATGCCCAGGGAACCACCAAGCACAAAGTGGGACACAAGGACCCTGCCAAGCTGCACCAAGCAGCATGCAGGAATGGATCCAGCACTGGCCAGTGGCTGGGGCCTCTACACTCTAGCTCCAGCACTTGGATTCTATGCTGGAGCAGGTATCACCCCTAATTCCAAGAGGCAGCGTAAATCCTACCTGACCTCTGTACTGCCCATAGCGGGACATGCAAAAAAAAATGATCCATGCTAGATTGGCACAGTGGGTTGTCCAAGCATATGGGGATCTTCTACTCCCCTCTGCCACCCCAAAAACAGCACTCCCAACTACTGCAGCTCTTTCCTTTCTTCCAGATATCTCCATTGCGGTGATGGGTTGATGGTTGGAGTTGATCATAATGGTCTTTTGCAACATTAATGACTCAATGATTCAATGATTCAACGATACAACGATTCAATGATTCAGTGATTCTGTGATTCTGTTATTGTAACGAATAATAAACACAAGTCCTTACACCATCCCAGCAGCATCCCCTAGCTCACGTGCAGGGCACTGGAGCCCCACAGCTCCTACCTTCAAACACAACCACGGGAGAAGAACTCACATGAGATCCGCACCCAGACTTCGAGTAGCCTAGGAAGTGATGCAAGGGAAAAGCATTGATCTGATTCGATGAGTCAGGAGGACAACTGGCCTGAAGGAGCATAATTTGTTCTGTAAATAAATCCATCACCATTCCTCTGGATGCCTCACAACCCACTTAGCAAAACTAGAGGCAGTATAAAAGTTGCTTGGTTCTGAAGCACATCACTCACTCAGCACTGCACTGTTGAACGTCTTATCAGAACCAAGAAGGGTAAGTCCATTTCTGCTGATGGGAACAATTCTTCTGATTTTTGTGCTTGCAAAACAGAAATGCCTTGGTGGAGCACACCAGATGGGTGGTGACTTGAAGATTACGGATGTTGTTTTGGTAAATTTAAATCTCTTGCAGATATTAGCAGAAGAGGGATCACCCCATGATACTAGAAATCATGACAGCAGAGATGCAGAGAGAACATTTATGGAATAAAATCTGAATTCAGGAATTTATGTTGATTATCTTCAGTAGTCTTGTGCTGTCCTGATAGTAAAGACTTGATATTTGACTGGAACACATGGATGACAATTATCTGAAAGGAAATTCAGTGAATGCTGGGAACAATCCTTTAAGTGGAACAATGGCCCTACGGGCTGAGATCATTTTGATAGTAGTGTCTTCTTATCAGTAACAAATATGTGATCTCTTGCAGGACCGCTGCTCAGAGATGTGTTCCCGACAGAGCTCCGGAGGCTGCCACGAGTCATCGTCCCAGTCTGGGGGATGCTGCAGTGGGGGCAGCTCATCCAGCTACCAGGCACAGGGCTCCTCCTGCTGCGGGGGCTCCTCGGGATACAGCATGGGAGGAGGATACGGCGGTGGCAGTGGAGGATCGGGTGGCAAGATCATCATTAGCTCAGGAGGAGGAGGAGGAGGAGGATCCTCTGGATGCTGTGGTGGGGGATCCAGCAGTGGTGGATCTTCAGGAGGCAAGATCATAATTTCAGGAGGTGGAAGCAGTGGGGGATCGTCTGGGTGCTGCAGTGGAGGATCCTCAGGCTATGGCATGGGAGGAGGATACAGTAGTGGTGGTTACTCGGGATCCAAGAGCATCATTGGAGGAGGTGGAAGCAGTGAAGGATCCTCTGGGTGCTGTGGTGGGGGATCCAGCAGTAGTGGATCTTCAGGAGGCAAGATCATAATTTCAGGAGGTGGAAGCAGTGGTGGATCGTCTGGGTGCTGCAGTGGAGGATCCTCAGGCTATGGCATGGGAGGAGGATACAGCAGTGGTGGTTACTCGGGATCCAAGAGCATCATTGGAGGAGGATCCAGCAGTGGAGGATCCTCTGGATACTGTGGTGGGGGATCCAGCATTGGTGGGTCTTCAGGAGGAACAATCATAATTTCAGGAGGTGGGAGCAGTGGAGGATCGTCTGGGTGCTGCAGTGGAGGATCCTCAGGCTATGGCATGGGAGGAGGATACAGCAGTGGTGGTTACTCAGGATCCAAGAGCATCATTGGAGGTGGAAGCAGTGGTGGGTCGTCTGGATGCTACGGTGGTGGCTCTTCTGGCTATGGCTCTTCCAGCTACGGCAGTGGGGGATCAGGCCGGAAGATCATCATTAGCTCTGGAGGTGGAGGAGGAGGTTCGTCTGGATGCTGTGGTGGAGGATCCAGCAGTGGTGGATCTTCCGGAGGCAAGATTATCATTGAAGGAGGTGGAAGCAGTGGTGGATCCTTTGGATGCTGCACTGGGGGATCCGGTGGAGGCAGTGGCGGTTCCTCGAGCGGCACCATCATCATCAGCTCCGGAGGAAGCAGTGGTGGCTACGGCCAGTCCTCACAGCAGAAATGCCCCATTGTCATTCCTCACATCGAGAGGCACCAGACCAAGCAGGCCTGCTACTTCCCTGGCCAGCAGAAGTGAACGCTCCCAGCAGCCCAGCACTCAGCAATAACAACCCTTCCTTTCTCTGCTGCCTTGTCCTCTTTCCTCTCCACATGACCTCTTCCCTTCTTGTCCGTTCATGCTGCAATCCCACGCTGAGAACTCCCTGATGACTTCTCACCCTTCAATGTGAAGTGCAATAAAATACACTGTGTTCAGAAAAAAACTACTTATGCAGCGTTGCTTTTATTCTTTCCCAGTCTCCTGCTTACTTTCAAAAAGTGAATAATCTGCTGAATGCATTCTGCTGAGAAAACTTCAGCTTTCAGTGCTGGAGCTCATGGACATTAAGAGATCTTGCTTAGGAGAGCTTTGTTGCATGAGCAAGTGGTCCGTGTCCCTCATTAATATCCACAGAGGCTGCATTTGTAACGTGGTGAATAGCTCCACTTGTTTCCCCTTCCCAGATGACGAAGCACAGCACAACCTCTGGGCTTCCCAAAGGGATTTCAGTGCAGACAACAGTAAACTTTGGAAAGACTTAGTCAGGTTTTTGTCAGAAGGAAACCATTCCTTTTCTTAGGCAACATTCAGTAGCAAGGCTTCTTTGGGAGCAGACCAAAGGCCATGGCCTTCAGTTCTGCAAATGTTAAGCTAGATGGTTTTTTATCCATCTGTCACACACAGAAGGTAACAAAGTTAGGTGTGGAAGTAGAGTTTATCATCAGCTGTGCAAATGGTTGAAGGGCCACAGCTGGTTAGATTCTGCCTGTTGCAGAAAAAATTGGGGAGATCTTATTGGGGAGATCTCATTCATCATGAGATATCTTCTGGGTGGCAGCCAGAATTAGAATTACTGTCAGACCTGAGCTTTCCTTTGGTGCCTGCAGGAGAGCTCAAGACACTGGAGGGAGTCCAAAGCAGATATGAGGTATCTTCTTCATGGCCAACTGATGCCATCAGTTAGCATTGCTGTGCCTGAAGGAAGCTGCTGGGGAAAAGGACTGCAGGATCTGGCCAAGTTTTTTCTCTCTCTCTTAACAATACACAGCATTCCCAGAGGAGCTGGAAGTGCAAAGAATGCGTAACATCACCTGACCACATGTCCTGAGCAAGACTGCTCCATAGGGCAAAGAATGGCCCAGACTTGGCCAGAGCAGAGTGGCCCAAAAGGGGGGCACTCCCCCCGTGAACCCTTTTTATTCTACCAGGTGAGATGAGCATGTGGCACTGACTCTGTGTTTCCAACCCCTGCACACACACACGAGTCATGCAGGGCTTGCAGGAGCACTTCTTTTCAACCCTGCCAAAAACCTTCACAGCTTTCCCTCATGCCATGGGTCCTCATGAGACACAATTCCCGGGTGCCCCTCTGTGCAAGTCCCTGCAGGTTAGAGCCAGGGATCAAGGTACTATGATGCTCCGTAGTACAACACCCACACTTCATGGGTGGCAGCCAGAATTACTGTCAGACCTGAGCTTTCCTTTGGTGCCTGGAGGAGAGCTCAAGACACTGGAGGGAGTCCAAAGCAGAATACAGGAAGCTCCCGTACCCATGTTACCAGAGATGAGGCTGATGGCCCTGTCCCCATACCACTGGAGCTGCGTTGCGTGCCCAATGTGTTCGCTGTGGAAGGGATGAGCAACCTGTCACTGTCGTCACACATCCGCTCAGCTAAAACCCCCCAATTACGCCTTCATCTGCTCCATCTCCAGCAAGGGTGGATGCTGTTGTCAGCCTCCGAGCACGTGTGACACGGTGGAAGGATGCAAGTGCTGCAAAACACAACGGCCAGCAATGAAGACTCTGTGCTGATGAGTTGTCATTCTCCAGTAAGGAACATTCCGTGGCAGAACACCCAGATGACTCCCTAAACTCAACTTATGGGGGCTGTCCAGCATAGCAGGACCCCTGAAAAATGACCTGAAGCAGGCCAAGTGTTTAATGTGCTGTGG